GCCGTGTGCACCTGCCGGAGCTGCTCATAGTCGCTCAGGGCGGCCGTCAGGTCCCAGTTTTTGCCTGTGGACGAGAAAGGACGGGAGGTGGCCCGGCCGGCGGGGCTCCGTGGTTGCGCGTCAGCCGACCTATGAACCAGGAGGTCTGGGTTCAATTCCCGGTCAGGGCACAGGCTGGGGTCGTGGGCTCGATCCCCAGTGTGGGGCGTGCAGGAGCCCGAGGGGGGGTTGGGGAGCAGGCTAGAAACCATCCATCTGCGGGAAGGGGGGGAGCGGGGTCAGGGCGCGGCCGTGTGCCCGGGCACGCGGAGCCCTCCCGCCTGCTGGGGGATTTATATATACAGTGTTCATTTCTTTTTGTTGTTGTTGTTAATCCTCATCCAAGGATATTTTTCCATTGATTTTTAGAGAGAAGAGGCGGGGCGGGGGGGGGGAGAAACATCGATGTCAGAGAGACACATCCACTGGTTGCCTCCTGCACTGGCCCCAATCAGGGCTGGGGATCAAGCCTGCAATTGAGGTACGTGACCTTGACTGGGAATCAAACCTGGGACCCATCTGTCCTGGGGCTGACGCTCTATCCACTGAGCACACCGGCTAGGTCTACTGGGACGTAGTTTTGGGCTGGGTTTGGGACGACGCCCTGATTCTCCATGTCAGACGTTAAATCATAACAGTCAAAGTCACCAGGCTCCGCCGGGGGGCACTTTTGTGAGGTGTAGCCAGAAGGTGAGAAAACTGTTGGACCTGCCCGGCCGGCGTGGCTCAGTGGTTGAGTGTCAACCTACGAACCAGGAGGTCACGGTTTGATTCCCAGTCACGTGCCTGGGTTGTGGGCTTGGTCCCCAGTGGGGGGCGTGCAGGAGGCAGCCGATCCATGATTCTCTCTCATCACTGATGTTTCTCTCTCTCTCTTCCTCTCAGAAATCATTAAAAATATTATTTTTAAAAATAAAATTATTGCGGAGGGGAGGAAAGGGGGAGAAAATGGGAGATATCTGTGAAACTATCAACAATAAAAATATAATAAAGAAGAAAATGATTGGACCTGATGTTTACAGCACCAACTAAGAGACTGTCTTCCTCCCTCCGTCCGTGCCCCAGAGCCGCGGCCGGGAGTCTGTCCTCTGTCACCGCCACCTGGGGGACAAGCCAGAGACAAGCGCTCGTTACTCTCCGCACCCTGGGCGGGCGGGGAAGGTGTCATCACTCCACAAGGCTGCCTGTGGGGCTCGGCCACCTGTCCTCGGCCACACCGCTGCCTGCAGACACCTGCCCCCCGGCCCCTGCTTCCGGGGCTTCTCAACATCCCTCGTGTGAGCCAGCACCTCCCTTCCACCTCCCACAGTCCACAGCTGCGTGTAACCTCCCGCCACACACCACAGCGACACACTGCGTCTCGGCTTTTTTTTCTTTATTGCGGTAACACGTATGTA